TGGGGCTTATTAGGGAAGTAACAGGGTACAGTTGAAGTTCAGAAACACACTCAGGATATAGTTCTTCGATCAGGATGGTCTCCCCTCTGCTGTGCCCTTCAGGAACACCTCTCTGGCTCTTGGCCTCTCTGCCTAGCCTCTGTCCTGCTCAGGCAAGTTTTACAAAGCTATTTTAGCTCTACCAATAGGTACACCTAGGTGCACCCACTCTGCCAGCAAGCCTCTTGCTCAAAGGCATTCATCTTTCTCGCTCCGTGGGCCACCAAGCCCACCACTCTGTCTTGTACCTCTTGGTTCTACTGTCTCTCAGCTGGTCATCTCTGCCAAGGAGGTCCAGTGCAGGGATCTCGGGTCTAAGGATGTGCTCCACTCCACTTCCAGCTCTCTCTCTTGATGGCAATGAAAGCCCCCTTTCTGCCTCTACGAGGCTTCATTTTAAGCCTAGCAGAATGGCTAAATTAACCAGTCCCTACATTAGAGTTCCATATACCTTATTTGCGTGGTCCCACCCCCACAAGGGTACCCATGTATCTTACTTACATTGCCAGCTATCCAGTCCCCTTATATTTGCATAGTTCTACGCAGTCAACTGGCAGGAGTCACAAAGACCATGGATAGAAAAGCCATACCAAGTAATTAATTCACTGCACCATAGTGGTTGGATCTAGTAAGGAAGACTTATCAATGACTCTAGACTTAGTGGTGAGACAGTTACATACTAGAGGGTAGGAAATTAGCCCAGCAAAAATACAGGCACCATCCACCTCTATGAAATTTTTAGGCATCTAGTGGTATAGGGCATGTCAAGATATTCCTGCTAAAATGAAGGATAAGTTACTGCATATGGCCCTTTGCGCAACTGAAAAGGAGAAGCAACACCTGATGGGCCTCTTTGGATTTTGGAGGCAATGCATCCCTCATTTGGGTGTGCTACTCCAACCTATTTATCAAGTGACTTGAAAAGCTACTAGCTTTTTTGAGTGGGACCCAGAATAACACAAGGCTGTGCAACAGGTTCAGACTGCTGTGCAAGCCCTCTGCCACTTGGGCCATATGACCCAGCTGATCCAATGGTGCTTGAAGTGGCAGTGGCAGGTAGAGAGGTGACTCACCCTATTGGTGAATCACAACACAGACCCTTAGGATTTTGGAGCAGAACTTTCCATCTGCTGCAGATAACTACTCTCCTTTTGAGAAAGAGCTTTTGGCTCATTACTGGGCCTTAGTAGAGACTGAATGCATAACCAACGACCATCAAGTCACCATGCAGTCTGAGCTGCCCATCACGAACTGCTTGTTCCTGATCCACACAGTCATAAAGTTGGGCGTGCACAGCAGCATTCCATCATTAAATGGAGGTGGTATGTGAGAGATTGGACTCAGGCAGGACCTGAAGGCACAAGTAAGTTCCATGAAGAAGTGGCCCAAATGGTCTCCATCTAATCACAGTGCTTGCCCTCCTCCAGTCTGTACCTCTAGCCTCATGGGGAGTTCCTTATGATCAGTTGACTAAGGAAGAGCAAACTAGTGTCTAGTTTACAGTTGGTTCTGTGAGAAAATCAGGAACCACTTGAAAGTAGATAGCAGCAGCACTGCAGCCCCTTTTAGGGACCTCCCTGAAGAACAGTGGTGAAGAGAATTCCTCCCATTGGGCAGAACTTTGAGCAGTGCATCTGGTTGTTCACTTTGCTTGGAAGGAGAAAGGGCTGTGGCCAGTTGTTTGGATGGTCAGGGATTTGGAAGGAATGTGATTGGAAAATTGGTGACAAAGAAGTATGGAGAAGAGGTATGTAGAGAGACTTCTCTAAATGAGCTGAAGAAATGATGATATTTGTGTCTTATGTGAATCCTCACCAAAGGGTGTTCTCAGCAGTGGAGGATTTTAACAATCGAGTGGATAGGATAACGCATTCAGTGAAAACCACTCATCCTCTTTTCTCAGCTACTCCTGTCATTGCCTGATCAGCTGATAAACAAAGTGGCCATAGTGGCAGGGATGGATAGTGTGCATGGACCCAGCAACATGGACTTCCACTCACCAAGGCCAGCTTTACTACAGCCACTGCCAAGTGCCCAATCTGCTGGCAGCAGAGACCAACAGTGAGTCAACGATATGGAACGATTCCTTGGGATGATTAGCCAGCAACATGGAAGCAGGTTTATCACATTGGGCCACTTCCATCATAGAAAGGGTAGCATTTTGTTCTTACTAGAGTAGACACTTAATCTGGATATGGATTTGCCTTCTCT